CTACTCCTGGTGGTGCTGGGGAAACCATATGGAATGCTGGGAATCGAACTCAGGTCAGCTGCGTGCAAGGCAAATGCCCTTCCTGCTGTGCTATCACTCCAGCCCCACCTTGTGACCTTCTATACGAGGTGATTCCTTTTCTTTCCTTTTTTATTTTTTAACATGACAGGTTTTATTTAAAATTAAGTCACCGTGGGATAAACAGTTACCAAGTTGTCTATGATTGGGTTTCAGTTCCAATACCTGCCCCTCCATCAGCGCACATTTCCCAGCATCAATGTCCCCTGTTTTCCCTTTCACCCACCCACCCCACCTCTATGGCACTCTCTCTCTCTCTCTCTCTCTCTCTCTCTCTCTCTCTCTCTCTCTCTCTCTCTCTCTCCTTTTGGGGTTTGCAATACAAATACTGAGAGGTTATCATGCTTGTTCTTTCACCTATTTTCAGCACGGTTCTGATCCAGAGTGATCGCTTCCAGCTATGTTTGTCATAACGATCCATTCTCTTGGGTGATTTCTTTTTTGTAAGGGCCATTTTACAAAGCTTTCCCTGCCTGTTCCCCCTGTCTTTACCACCCCCACTTTCTCAAAGTCACTTTGCAATTTTCTAGTGATAGATTCTGAAGAATCAGAGTAAGATGGACATTATCTTGCTTTCACTAGATTCCTAGAATTAGCACCATTGTTTACTTCTACCAAACCAGACATCTGAGTATTCATGACTATTATATCTTGTTTTCCGGGATAGTTCATTGAATGCCATCCTGGAAAACAGTCATTTTTATTCCCATTTTGCAGGTGGGAATATGACAGTATGCTTCAGAACCCAACTCTACTATTGAAAGAGGAGGCCTCGGTTTACCCTTGCCAGCTTTAGTGAGCAGTCCCATTTTTTGACTTCCTGCAAATTTCTGGGCTTTTTCTGATAAACAGGGACTTGATAATTGTCGATCATCTTAAAAAACTAGAAATTGAGCTTTCATATGACCCAGCAATACCAATATATCTTGAGGGTGCAAAAAAGCACAGTAGAAATGACATCTGCACCTGTATGTTCATTGCAGCACTGATCTCAATTGCCAGAATCTGGAAACAACCCGAGTGCCCAGGAACAGATGACTGGTTAAAGAAACTTTGGTCAGGAGTATGGTGCCGCCAGCAGGTCAATCTGTACCTGTGAGGCGAGTGCATCAGCAGCCTGGTGGTGCATTAGACATCCAGAAACCCCAAAATTGCAGCTGTGCTTTTGACCAGACCCCAAAAACTTGGGGCAAAGTTTACCAAGAAAGTAAACTGCCAAAAGTTAGGTATGTGGGAGACACACCCACAAACCACCTCCGGCTCAGCTATATAATTGGAGGCATGGCCTCTCTGGTTCCTGATCGAATTGCTTAATAGCCATGATCCCAGAGACTCAGAAACAAATCTCAAAACCCAACGGCTTTGGGCAGAAATGCATCCAGTCCCTGCAGTAGGTTACCGGTGCTGGGCCAACCCAGGTGGGAATAGGTTTCGTGCCTTGACCTGTTCCCCCTGGCAGCCCAGTGGCTGCCATCCTCCAGAGGCCACTGGACAGCCAGGTTTGGACCCGCAGTGACGAGACATGCAGGGCCTCATGGATCGGGGGTGGAGCTGGCCCTTTCCTCCCCATCCCAACAAGACCCCGAGTCATCGCCCACGAACAGCCTCTCTGGCTCCTGATCAAGCTGCTTAACGGCCATGATCTCAGAGACTCAGGAACAAATTTCGGAACTCAGCAGATTTTGGCAGAAATCCCTCCAGATTTAAGTGTTAAAACTTTGGAATTTCATCTCATGGAAAGAGGGGCAGTACTGACTCGTCCTTCATGCCCTACCGAGGTCACAAGTTGCCCCCCACAAGCGGCCCTCTGGCAGGGCCTTGGCTCCAGAGACAAAAGGACTTAGTCTAGAGCCTGGCAGCTTGTGGCAGAAAAGTGAATGGACCGTGTGTTAACCTACGGCGCCATGCCTCCCCAGGAGGGAAAGGGTGTTGCTCCCTTCCACCTTTCCTCTCCCCTCCCACCCCCTGGCAACAAGGTGGCCACCGCCTCAGAGCCAGGTATGAGCCAGTGGTGATAGGGCAACTGCAGTCTCTGGCACGGTCATAACACCAGGCGCACAGAAACCAATCTCGTAATTATTCTGGCTCTTTGCAGAAATCCCTCCTGACTTACCTAGCAAAATATCAAAAATCCAAAATCGCGTGGCCACAAAGTGGCCGCGTGACATCCTATGGTTCTCATAACCAGCTATATAAATCAAATTATTTCACAATGCCGTTTCAGGAATTCTGATTGTTGGGAGAAAATTGTAAACAATAATGGTGCGTCTTTGTTGAAATAATGAATGTAATCAAAATAGAGAGAGAGTTAAGTAGAAATCATCTGCCTCACAGGCATTGGGAGGGATGGGAGGGGTGTATATTGGGGTTCTTGGTGGTGAAAAATAAGTACTGGTGAAGGGAAAGGTGTTTGATCATTGTATGACCGAGACTTAAACCTGAAAGCTTTGTAACTTTTCCCACAGTGATCCAATAAATAAATATAAGAAAAAAAATACTTCGGAATTTCAAAACCGCGCAGCCACTACTGCAGCCACGCAACATCATATGTTATTCTTAACTAGCAATGGAAAACAAATTGTCTACTGTTGCCTTTTCAGCAGATCTGAGTGTTGGGGTAAAATCCCAAATAATAATGGTGGGTCTGGTGTCAAAATATTGAATGTGATCAAAGTAGAGAGAGAGTAATGTGGAAATCATCTACCCCACAGTTAGGGGGAAGGTGTGGGATGAGGGTATACTGGGGTTTTTGGTGGTGGAGAACGGGCACTGGTGAAGGTACGGGTGTTTCATTGTATGACCGAGACTTAAACCTGAAAGCTTTGTAACTGCTCTCACGGTGATTCAGTAAATAAAATTATAAAATAGTGAGAAAAAAGTAAGGTTGGAGTTTATGCCAATTCAATCAGATAATCAATGGCTGAATAAATAGCAGTACTCCTACATTAAAAAAAGAAAAATAAAAGAAACGTTGGTGCATCTTCACAATGCAGCTGTTAGGAAAGATGAAGTCATGAAGTTTGCTTATAAGTGGATGATCATGGAGAGTATCATACTAAGTGAAATGAGTCAGAAAAAGAGGGAAAAGAATGACTGCACTCATTTGTGGAGTATAAAATAACATGAGACTCACACCCAAGGATAGTAGACACAAGGGCTAGGAAGATTGACTCATAGTTGGAAGCCTGCCTCATGAACTGGGCAAGAAGGAGATGGGACTGGGCCATCCCTTCCCTTCTCCCCATCCTTCTGGTGTCCACAAACTTCCTCCAGGTGCCATTTAAGTGCATTGATGGGCATGATCCAGAAACTCACAAATAAATCTCGGAACCAAGCAGCTCACTGCAGGCATAGCTCCGGATCCCAATTATTTAAAAATTTACAAGCCCAGGATCACACAGCCAATATCTCATACTGCTTTTTTATTTTTTTTTGAATCACTGTGAGATAGACCCTTACAGACATCTCACACTATTCATCACAAGCAATAAAAAATAAATTATCTAGCATCTGCCAGTGGGGCAAGCTTGAGTGGAGGTGGGAAACTTTGAAATAATGGTGGTGGGAAAGTGTAATGGTGGTGGGATTGGTGTTGAAATATTGAATGTAATCAATTATTGTGAACAACTTTATGAAAATAAAATTTTTTTAAAAAATAGAAGAATTGGGGCCAGAGCGATAGCACAGAGGGGAGGGCATTTGCCTTGCACGCGGCCAACCCAGGTTCGATCCTCGGTATCCCATATGGTCCCCCAAGCACCACTAGGAGTAATTCCTGAGCGCAGAGCCAGGAGTAAGCCCTGAGAATTATCGGGTGTGACCCCCCAAAAAAATAGAAGGGTCTACAGGAAAACTTTTATCTTTAACTTCCCTGCATTCCCTGTAACACAAAGACCCAGTTTTTCTATAAAAATCCCACAAAAAGAGCCATAGTTAATTTAGTTCTATACTAAGTTCCTCCCCATTTGGGGAGCTTCTTTTCTTTTCTCTTCCACTTTCCAATAAACTTTTCTACTTTCCAACTCTGTATCCGAGCATCTTTATCATTCAATATTTTCATTCTTGAAAATAATGAAGAACCTGGGAATTGTGAACGAACACAGAGAACTGGCACTGTTGCTTCTGCTTCACCTGCATCACTATTAGAACAGTAATTTCCTGTAGGATATCCGTGAATCACTGCAATCTACCCGGAGCTCTGTGTGGACCTTTAAAATTTGTGGCTAACAAGAATCATTTTTGGGGCTCTTCTGCTAAAGCTTCCCACAGGCTGGTCCCAGCCCAAGTCGAGTCTGTACTCACAGTCGCCACACACAGTTGTCAGTCTTAAGCCACCAGGAAAATGTGGCAGTGGAAAGTATCCAGGGATTTGCCAGAGGCCTGAACTCTGCTTCTCATGCAAGCAGATGCCAGGATCCATCAGGAGGCCCTGGGAGCCACAGCTGCCTCTAATCTTCCCAGTTCCACTTTGATTTCAAATCTACGCCACAGATACACCCTAACCCATGAGCTCATGATCTGGGGAGCATTGGCAGACTTTCATGAACAGCAAGTGACCTGTCTAGTGTGTGCCTGTGCACAGTCCCAGAGTCCCAGAGTACCTGACTTGGATGGAAGGAAACCCCAATTCTAGATAACTCCTGAACTGAGCAGAGGCAGTTGTGTGAAGTAGCTGCTGAGACCCATCTCTGACTGGGAATTCTAGTCAGGATGTTTGTAGATGCGACTTTTTTTTTTTTTGCTTTTAGGGTTACAGCTGGCAATGCTCAAGGGTTACTCCTGGCTCAGGAGACCATATGGGATGCTGGGAATCGAACCCTGGTCAATTGCGTACAAGTCAAACGCCCTACCCTCTGTGCTATCGCTCCAGCCTCTGCTTTTCTTTGCAATACTTGGTTTCTTTGTTTAAGAAATGAGAAACTACACTGCCTTTGAGCCCCCATTACCTGACCTTAGGGTGGCCTCAGGGCCAGACTTCAGTGCCAGAACACCAGCTGAGCTTATAACTGAGGTCACCAGCCCCCCTTGTCAGCGGTCTTTTCACCAGCTGGGTGTGACATGTGCCCATGGTGACAACTTGGGCCCCCTGCCCAAATCCAGCAGGCTTTGGTAACTCAGTACGCAGAAACTTGTGCACCACTAACCCATGGAACTCTATCTCCAATATATTTGACAAAAGTTACTATTTATCCCTAAGAGCATAGGGGCCTTTGACACAAAGGACTCATCTCAGGAGCCTGGGGAACCACTGAGATGCAGAATTCTAGGATGCAAGGATAGATTCCTGGGTGGAAAGAATCCACCTCTGGAACAAAGACCAAGCAAGAATATATATATATATACATATATATATATATTATAGTACTTCTTTTGCTCGAGCGGGCCCAGTAACGTCTCCATTGGAGACTTTGTTGTTACTGTGTTTGTATATATATATATATATATATATATATATATATATATATATCATTTACTATTCCTGGCTCTCACTCCCCCGCCTTTTTTAAATTTTATTTTCTTAAGGTTGTTCACATTAATTTATGATATTCAATATTTCAACACCAATCCCACCACCATTACACCTTCCCACCACCATTATTTTGAATTTTCCCACCACCATGCAAGTCTGTCAGCCAGGTTCAGATGCTAGATATTTATTTTCTGTTGCTTATTATGACTATCATGAGAGGTCGCTCGACTGCAAAAGCGGTCTTGTGCTTCTGGAATTCTAAAATTGTCAATGGTTGGGGTCCAGAGACATCTCTGTGGGGAGCTAATTCATTTTGAGATTCATTTAGAAGTCTCCGGATCAAGGCCATTGATGCGACCAGAGGCAGTTCCTGGACATGACAGCCAGGACCCCAAGTAGGCGGGAAGGCAGGAAGGGCCAGTCAGTCTCCGTCTTTCTTTTTTTAATTTTATTGAATCACCATGAGATAGTTACAAGCTTTCGTGTTTGAGTTACAATCACACAATGATCAAACGTCCATCCCTCCACCAGTGCACATTCCCCACTACTTATATCCCGGGTATACCCCTCCTTTCCCACCCTCCCCCTGCCCTTATGGCAGACAATATTCCCCATACTCTCTCTCTACTTTTGGGCATCATGGTTTGCAATACAGACCCTGAGAGGTTATCATGTTTGGTCCTTTATCTACTTTCAGCACACATCTCCCATCCCGAGCGATCCCTCCAGTCATCATTTTCTTAGTGATCCCTTGTCTATTCCAGCTGCCTTCTCCCCTCCGCTTATGACACAGGTTTCCAACCATGGAGCAATCTTCCTAGCTGACCCGTGTATCTACTGTCCTTAGGTGTCAGTGTGACCTGGAGTCTTAGTCCCTGAACCCTCATACAGGGCCAGCTCTCCCCCTTGGCTACCACTCTGGTGAAGGCAATGGAGGGTGGTGGGGCAATTTGGGAAAAACAATATATAAACTAACTGGGCATGTAAGTCTGCATCTCCTTTCTTGAGAGGTGCACTTTTCTATTTTAACATCCATTTTCCCACCCCCAGGATATGGCCAGCACTTTCACCTTTGATATGTGTATGGGCTCCCTTCATTCTGGAGAAATCTGTGTTCTCTCTTGAGTATGTACTTAAATTTGCCTCTTTTAATCCCTCTCTTAATTTTCCTCATAAATTTGTTTTACTTAGGGGGAAAAAAACCTGTGAGGATGAGGGAGAGACCAGGGAGAAGAGAGAGAGAGAGAGAGAGAGAGAGAGAGAGAGAGAGAGAGAGAGAGAGAGAGAGAGATCATGGTGGGTAAAGGTACTGGCTTGTATGCAACTGACCTAGCTTCTTTGATCTAGGCACCACATGTGGTTCCCTGACTCCCTCCAGCAGTGACTCCTGAGCAAAAACCCAGATAATAAGCACTGCTATGTTTGACCCCAAACTAAAACTGATAAAGGGGTGTGTAATAGCACAGCTGCTAGGGCATTTGCCTTGCACGCGGCCAAGCCAGGTTCAATTCCTCCGTCCCTCTTGGAGAGCCCAGCAAGCTACCGAGAGCATCCCTCCCACACAGCAGAGACTGGCAAGCTCCCCATGGCATATTCGATATGCCAAAAAGAGTATCAACAGGTCTCACAATGGAGATGTTACTGGTGCCCGCTCGAGCAAATTGACAAACAATGGGATGACAGTGCTACAGTGCAAAAGGGTGTGTGTGTGTGTGTGTGTGTGTGTGTGTGTGTGTGTGTGTGGAGGGATGGGAGGAGATTGTTTTCCTTTATCAGGTTTTTTCTTGCCAGAATGAGGACACAGATGATAACATGGTATGGATTAAATTATGTCAGCACCTCCCCTCTTCCCTGCACCAAATTGATGTAGGCAGGCAGGTAGATAGGGAAGAACTCCCCCACCCCAACCCGTACCCCATGGCAATGGAATTCCTGGGAAATAATACCCCTGGAAGTTGCAAAAGCCAATCTAAGGATATAGGAACTAAGGCCTGATAAGACTTTCACCTGGTGCCAGTAACAGAACCAGGAGAAGGCTGGACCCCCCCCCCCAACTCCAAGAAACCCTCCAGCAGGAACAAAGGCCAAAAAGGGAATTTCAAAGAGGACCATCAACTACTGCCAACTCTACCCCCTTGGCAACTACCCTAGCAATGGGTTTTTACCTAGGTAGACGCCCCCATGGGGAGGCAGGTTGAAGGAATTCAATAAAAGCCACCTTGAACCAAGAAAGGGCTCGAATGTGCTGCCAGAGCCCAAGTGCTGCTTGTCCCCATATGGCCGAACACATGTGTCGCCGACATCTCCCCTCTTGCAATGTGCACTGGGGCTTTCTCTGTCTTTGTAGAAGACCGTGTTCTCCCTTGAGCACTCTCTCTCCTCCTTTCTCTACCTCCTCCCCCTTCCTAAAACCCTCCAAGTAAAATCTGTATTTACTTCACTGCTCCTCTGCTCCTGAAATTCTTTTCTGTGAGACAGGACAAAGTACCTCGAAACTCTGGGTAATGCCTAGGACTGACTTTCCTCTCCTGCAAAGAAAAATTTCTCACTTGAACCTAGAAAAATCTGGTGTAAGGATCAAGTTGATGTAAGGGGCTGGAGCACAGTGGGTAGGGCGTTCGTGCCTTGCACACAGCTGACCAGGGTTCGATTCCCAGTCCCCCCCCCCCCCCGAGCACCACCAGGAGTAATTTCTGAGTGCCAAGGCAGGAGTAACCCCTGTGCATTGCCGGGTGTGACCCAAAAAGCAAAAGTGGAAAAACAAAGACCAAGTGACATCAGAGGTGACTTGGTGGTCACCTGGTGAATCTGGTGGGGTTCTGGCTCATCCTGCACGGAGGTTCATGGCAGACTTTATCGGTCCTAGCATTCCTGAGGTGGCATAGAATGATAGGGAGAAAGTGACCATCTCTCTCCTCCTCACCTTACATAAGCCACCCGTGGGGACCCACCAGCTTCAAAATGATGCTAGAATCCTAACTCCCAAAGCTCAGAATATGACTTTACTTGGAGAAAGAATCTTCCCGGCGATAATTCTGTCAAAATGAGATTATTAAAGTAGCCCATATTCCAACATTACTATTGTTCTTTAAAAGAGAAAGATTTGGGGCTGGACCAATAGCACAGTGGGTAGGGCGTTTGCCTTGCACGTGGTCAACCCAGGTTTGATTCCCAGCATCCCATATGGTCCCCTGAGCACCGCCAGGGGTAATTCCTGAGTGCAGAGCCCGGAGTAACTCCTGTGGATCTTCAGGTGTGACTCAACAAAAAAGCAAACAAGAAGAAGAAGAAGAAGTGGCATGTGTCTTTTTGAGTTATTCCCCTATTCAAAATAATACCAGATCTCTTCAAAGATAATGGGATTAGGAGGTGTCAGTGATGGGGAAAGTATGCAAGGCCAGGTATCATTACTAAATATCACTGGGGTGTCTCACAGATGAGAAAACAAAGGCACATGAAGATGAGGTTTCTGACCCACAATCACACATCTGAAATATATAGCTCTACACTGTCCTCCCATTGTTCATCAATTTGCTCGAGCGGGCACCAGTAATGTCTCCATTGTGAGACTTGTAGTTACTGTTTTTAGCATATCAAATACGTCACGGGTAGCTTGCCAGGCTTTGCCACGTGGACAGGATACTCTCGGTAGCTTGCTGGGCTCTCTGAGAGGAGCGGAGGAATCAAATTGGCCGAGTTGGCCGAATGCAAGGCAAATGCCCTACCTGCTGTGCTATGGCTCCAGCCTCTTGCTGAAAAAACAAGGTAAATGCCAGACGGTTCCAGTAGTTATAGAGAGAAAGACGGTCTGGACTGTGAACTAAGGCACTTAATGAAATTCTTTTCCAAGAGGAATGTTTTTTTTTTTTTTTTGCTTCTCTAGTGAAAAAGAAGGCATCTGTTAATTTAAAAAAAAAGGCTCTGTGGAGATGCAAAAGAGAAGGTAAAACTTCCTTCCAGGATAGGTGGGTTCAAAGCTTTGTTTAGGGGAGTCTGCAACATTGAGTCGGCTCCAAGGGTACCAGAAAGTAGAGAGTGCAAAGCCCATTCCCGGTTCCTTGTTCTGGAAGAGGCCCCCTTGAGACTCATTTAAGAGGTGATTCATTATAAAAATCATCCACCATTTTGGTCAAGATATGCTCTCTGCAAGTCTTTAGCATCAATGCCATCTCCATCCTCTTCCTCCTTCTGACATCCCCTTCCCACTCCCTCACCAGACATCAATGCATTCTTCTGCCAACATGAAGTGCCTTTCACAACTATCAATTCTTCCACTCATTACAGCATGCTATAACAAAAGCTAGAGCGATAGCACAGCGGGTAGGGCGTCTGCCTTGCATGCGGCCAACATGGGCCACCCGAGTTCTATTCCTCCGCCCCTCTCGGAGAGCCCGGCAAGCTACCGAGAGTATTCGATATGCCAAACACAGTAACAACAAAGTCTCCAATGGAGACGTTACTGGGCCCGCTCAAGCAAATCGATGATCAATGGGAGGGCCTTTACTTACTTTACTTTATAACAAAAGCAGAACTTGAATCAGATGAAGAAGAAACCCAACCTCAAAAAGTGGGAGTAATTTATTTGAGATCTC